ATATATTATATATTATATTATATATTATATTACATATTGATTTTATGTCTTGTCAGTAAAAGATATTACATCTTTTTACTATTGATAAAAATGCTTAACGGAACGATATATGTAACAATATAAGAATAAGCTTTTTTGTTACCTGACCGACAAAATCCGGCCTAGATTTAAATGCGCTCAAAATCATATTTCCAAGATTGATATTATGAAATACTTCTTCTTTTCCAATTAATACGTCAATTTTTTTGTTGGACTTCTAAAAGATGCATAATAAAGTTGTTAATAAGACATATTTTTACTAATATCTATAGGATAGATTTTATTATGTATGTATCTGTTACCTTAGGCGCCATTTCGCTATTAATTCTTTAAATTAATAGTAATACTGACAGTACTTTTATCACAGAAATATTGAACAGCTCTTCTTGTGTCGCAACGAACACTAAGTCTAATATTTATTTCTGTATCTTTGCGATATAACGTTATGATTAAATGTTAATCGAATTTGTTTTGTTTGGATATGTCCTTCTAACCCGCGTGTAGTTGATGTTACATCGCAATGTTTTTATTTCGGTTTTTACTTTTATTTTTATATTCCGTATCTCTTTAGTAGCCGATTAATTTTCTAAATTGTTTAAACTTGGTTTATGCTATTAATTCAATACGTTTTGCCATTTGTAGTTTCGAAATTTTTATTTCGCTGAAAAATAAAAATATTTGAAAAAATATATAAAAAAAATTAAAATACCAATCGAATTCGCTATTAAATAATTTATTGACAATTTGTTGTGATCTATCTCTTGCCAATATCCACTAATACAAATTTGATCCTATTTAGACATAATTTTAACTCTAATCGCGACTTTAGTGAATCCGGAAATTTCCTTTTACTGTGATAAAAAATTATAATAAATTTTTACGACCTTATATAATTTTAAATTATATAATTTTATTTCTCGAATGTTATCTTTCAAAATAGAAAAAAAATTGTTTAAATTATTTTTAAACAAAGATACATTATTATAATTTTAAGTACACTAGACTCGCGAATACCAGTTGAGTCATAGCGAATACAGGTTAGGATTAAACTATCGTTATTTATTGCATTAATCTAATTACTTTATATTAATTATACATTATATTACATTGTAATTATATTAATAGAAATATAATTATAAATAGAATATATAATTATATTTGCTATACATAGTTTTTGATTGCTGTACCTACTGTATACAATATGGTTATTTTTAAATATATTTATAATGTAAAGTTTTATATTTTAATGATAAAATTTTCCGAAAATCGGTATCGATCCTTTTATTTATAAAAAATATATCGTTTGTCGAGCGTAACGATGTCATGCCAATATGTCATTCGCCATTAATCGCAACGTTCGCCATAATTTTATTCAAATCTTTAAGAGAGTAATTTTTGAGTAAGTATGTAATAAAATCAAATCTCAAAAAGTACATAATCTTTTGTTATATGAAGAATAAATCCGTAATGGAATTTCATATTTTCAGTATTATATTGTATATACAATCTGATATCTTACAGATAGCGTCGTATTATTATCGTAGTATGATATCATATGTGTATTTCTACTAATCATAAAAAATTATTGTCACATACTCAGTCATTAATTTTACATATTTAAATGTGTCTCAATCAATTTTTCCATTAGGGAGCCGTCGAATTTTATGTGTAATGAAGCATATCCTTACGCGGAGTTTATGACTGTTGGATGCCCGGTTTGCTACGAATTCCATTAGCTCTTCTTTTGTCACCTAGGCACAACGTGAATTTTTTATAAACAATTTTTTTCGACTTTATGAAAAGAAATGACCAGCTTTAAACCTTTGCTTCCAATTTTATCTCAACATAAGCTTTCAGGTGCTGACCATCTTTAGGATGTTTCACAGCTAAAATTACTCTTATATTTAATATCAATGTTAATTTTAGTAGGAATACTAAAAAAATATCAATTTTAGTAGAAACATATAGTATATAGAGGTTCCGTGTACACATATATATATATATATATGTGTTACAACGAATAAAACATAATTAAAATTACAATAAAATCGAGGTGTTTATTTTTAGTATATTTAATATAGATAATATATTAATCTTATAAAAATCTACAGAAAATTAATTTTTTATTTAAAATAATACTTTTCGTGCTTCAATTTTAGCAGCAAAATTGTTAATTATTTTATTAAAATTATATCCTTACATATATATAATATTTTATTTTCATTTAATACACAGCGAGCGCTCAACAACGGATGATAGCCACCGTTAGTAGTGAATGAATTAAAATATATAGAAATTTATATTTCCATTTTTATGTCCCAAAATTTTTCGAAACAAGTGCCTCGTTCATTAGTCCCTATTCTGACAGAGTGTAATATTTTGAAGTATTGAAAATAATAGAACATATTTTTGGTCAAGCTTTATACAAGCAATGCAAGATTACAACGTGTAATGCGTTGAGACGAAGATCTCATTCACTATTAATTACTGAGGACTGAGTTTAAAACGCATTTTTTTCACTTTTGAAGGTAAAATTTAGAATTTCTACAAAAGGAAATAAGAATTGAGTAAGAGTCAGTGATTGAGAAATATATAAGGATAAAAATAGAAAGTTTTATCGGATAATTTTAGGAAGAAATTAAAAAGCTATTTTTTATCTTTAAAATTGCAATCCGGATAGCATAATAAAAGATCTCTTAATATTATATTAAGATTATGTAATACTATAAGATGTTGCTAGAGAATCATCTCACGAAGAAGTTTTGTATCATAGAATCTAGAAATTCTACGGTAGCTGTTGCGGCACCATAGTTCAGCACGAATTGTATTCCAAGCGGATGACAAATCGTGCGTCGAAACCGAGAATGAATTATATCGCGTTTTCGCGTGCATCTGATATTCTGTAGCCGGAAACACAGCGCGCGATGATAGATCTTCCTCTCGTTTTCCCACCTGCAATATGTCTAAAATGCGTCAATTCGTCTTGACTCTCGAACGCTTTTATAGAATTAATGTATTGTACTTGGAAAATCGATTTTCAATTGAGGCACGCTACGGGAAACAATACCTATAGATTATTAAGGAAAATCGGTTTATCAATCTTTCACTATGTCGATTGTATGACAAAGATAAATAGATGAAAGTGTAATAACATTTTAATTTGTCAATATATGTATAATGCGAATGTTATTATTAGATTAAACAATATTATTTTAGACCATTTATGTAAGAACACAATCAATATTAAAATGCCTATAACGGTCGAAGCTGGATCTTTAATTCTTAAATAATTCAATCTTGAATTACTAAATATACTATATATGTACTTGCATATATATATATTCTGTATTTGTCTTTCGAACTGCGCGTCGAATTCTTTTCCGGACTATATAAACGCAATTAAACTACTGTAGTAAACTCGCGAATTAAATTGACAAGTAATTTTAATAATTTTGATACTCAATCAGACATCATATTATTAGATTAATCTTACAAAACATTATTAGATGAATAGATTTTTAAACAAGATCGATTTTTTTTACCAATATACTGTTCATAAGAAGTGAATAAGTGGTTTTAATTTTTTTATAATTTCTGATAACTCGTTTAATTTATTGATTTGTGGAATATCAAATACAATATCCGTGTGTGTATTGTTAACTTCTAATTGATAATGATTGAGAGCGGTAATCACATTTTTTAAATCCACTTCAAAATTTGTGTCACGATTCAGGATAAAGTTCTAATAATTTTATATACCGTGTAATTTGAAAAATATGTGAAAAATACACGCAATATGAAATAAATACATATTAAACTACAATATATACGTATCTCAAAATACACAGCACACAACATTATGAATAGAATTACATCTTGAAATTTGATATGAATTATAAATCACTTAAAGTGAATTTTAGCAGAAGAGCATTTACTTAATATTGGTTAACTGCTTATAGCAATCAACCATAAGTTCACCAAGATTGCACGGCCACCCTGACCCTTCTGTCGACAAGTCAGACGAGCCGAGGAGGTACCTAAGCGCTAACTAACTAATGGTCACGGCTTGGCCTGACGTCAGAAATACAACGGGGGTTGAACGATCGCGCGAGTCAAGACGATACATCAATTACCTGGCCTCGCCACTCGTTACTTTATTAGCCGCCATTGGTTGCTGTGTTCCCCACGACGAAAGCGCGAAAAACAAAATCAGAATCGTGCTGATAAGGCTTATAAAAAGCAGCTTGGAGAAAACGATGCTTCCATCAATGTTCTTTAAACTCGAATTTTCTGAAAAATTTAGAGTTACCCAACGCTGAACAATCACCGCATCTCTTTTATACGCTTCGATGAACGAACAAAAACATTATTCATGGGAGCCTAGATCCTTTTTTTCTCTTTCTTTTTTCTCTCTTTTTCCAAAGAACTCATTTCACGTGCATCGTGGGTTTTGTATTGTATCTTCGAAGGTTTGAATGAGGTAGTTTCAAAAGCGTAACATTTCCTAACAAAAGAGCACGTTCTAGAATTAGCCGAAAGCTATCTAATCTTGCTTCAGTAGAACAAGAATATTCTAAATAGGCAGAAAGAGAAGAGTGAGTTGACAATAGAAAGGAATATTCCTTTAATAGCTTTAAAAAAATGATTGCAAAGTCACGATCCTTTTCATGTGTAAATTCATTGCATTCCTTGTTTAATCAATGTTATTGTTAACAATTTTTTTTTTATTTGTTAATATAGTATATCGTTTTTTCTAATATAATTAAAGGTATTTTTTTTTTTTTTTTTAAGAAGAAGCTCATTAATTAATATCAAGTGAAAGTTACTCTAACAGAATTTCAATTTGATAAGATAAAAAGGAATAAACGGTGCATAATGTTGGAAATTTAAAGAAAAATTGATTCGAAATTAATTCAAGAATTTGTGATAAACAACATTTTTACTATTAGATGATATTAAAATTTTTATAAATTATTGTAAAAATTAATATTTATTTAAAATATTATAAAAATATCTAATAAAAAATATATATATGAAGATTTAACATCTACATTATGCTTTATGAATTTTATTTCTTTCTTTTTATATTTTTTAGTTTTTACTTTATTATCAACAATTTTATGTATTGCTCATTTATTACGACATAATTGAAAAAATATAATCTTTCAGAAAATAAATTTAAATGTTTTAAATCATTAAAATTTGATAATATATTTTGAAATACAATTTTAATGTAATAACTAATTATAGAGAAATAAATATGTTCTTTTTTTCTTTATGTTTCTATTCTTTTTTTGCAAGCGTTTAAAAAATT